CTGCGCAGTGAGCTAGTAGGTAACTCGACCCCCTAACGAAAGAAACCGCGCGGAAAAGACTTAGTAGAAATTGGCGAAAATAAAACTTTTTCGATCAATTTTTTTTTGTAATTTTCCGAATTTCGTCAATATGATTTGAGATTCAAGTTTTTGAGTTTTTAGAGTTAGAGCGATAAACAATTTTGCGTTACGAGCGTAGTAGCACAACGTGTTACGATGCTAGGGCGATTTTTGAGTAACTCTCCGAATAACTCCGTGGATAGAGCTAGACTTGAAAATTTGAAAAGGAAGGAGTCAGGGGGTCCAAATTTGATAGTTTTTCGGCCAAATTTTTTGTTTCCTAGCCTATTTTGGTCCGGTTTTTTTCCAGTGCCGTACAGGGTTTCTACGCTCATTTCAAACTTTTTAAGCAATTTAAGTAAGAATTGCGGAAAAAGTCTCTGAGAACCTATATAGTTGGTGAAAAAAAGCCAACTTGACGAACGCGTTTTTGGTGATTTCGCAAAGACTAGCCAACTGATCGGAAAAATTTTGAAATCATAAGTCGATGTTTTTGACAATATTCCTGGACCGCAATCGTTTTAGGGTTGATAAATCGGAAATAAAAGTTTTGAGAATTTTTAAGTCCGGAGAGTCCCAATTTTAGGGAACCCTCCGAGCAGCAGAATTTTTTTAAAATTAACTTTTTATCCTACTGGGAAGGTTCACCGAGTCGGCCAACCAGTCTTAAGTAAGTTAGATTGCAAGCGGAGGCTTTACAGCGGTGAAAGTATCTTTTTTCGTGATTTTTGGGGAACCCTCCGAAGCAACCCTCCGGAGTCAGCTAAGTCCCTTAGCAACCCTCCTTGGCAGAAATTTTTCACGCAACCCTCCGAGACAATAAAAACCCCAGAGTGAAATTAGCTTGTTTTTACTCTTTTTGGAAGGAGCTCGAGACCACTTTAAGCGAAACTTGAAAAACTTTGATGGATTTTGAGAGAACCCTCCTAAATAACCCTCCGGAGTGACGTAAACCTCTTATTGACCCTACTCTTAGTGATTTACACCCTCCAAAGCAACTTAGGTGTTTAAGGTATCCTCCGAGGTAAACCTTCGAGATAACCCCCCAGAGTAAGCTAAGTGTCTTAACAACCCTCCGAAGTAACCCTCCAGAGTGACTTAAGCCCTTCAGCAACCCTCCTTAGTGAAAATTTGGAAGTACCCTCCGGGACAACTGAAACATCTTAGATATCCTTTCGAGGTCTAAATATCCTTTCGAGACGTGTATTTTGGCGAATATTGGCCCAGTTGACCCGGAGAATTGCGATTAACTTTAGATTCTAAATCGGGTTCATCAAAAAAAAAACCAAACAACATTTTTTGATTGTGATTTTGGTTGCAGGTTGCCTTGAGCTACTTGAAAGGAAGGCCCGGGCAATCCGCGAACACATAAAAGAAGACCTCGGTGAGTCTATTAGACAAGACACACTCACTTGAGAAGACAAAGTAGTTCCCTACTCTCGTGCACTTGGAGCTGTCCGGGTGTGGGAGAGCTTTTGCTTAGACTTTAGATATTTTAGATCAAGAGGTTGCCTTGAGCTACGTAGTAGGACAGCTCGGGCAATCGCAGGACATACAAAAGAAGACCTCGGTGAGTGTATTAGACAAGACACACTCACTTGAGAAGACAGTGTCCTGGGCTCCGTTCTTTTGGAGTGTTCGAATATAGGGAAGTATTTTTCTTTAAGACTACGTTTTACTTTTCTCTTACTGAAGCCATCACTGCTTTTTTTAAGAAAATTTTTTTGATTTTGTACAAAGAAGTGATTTGACACGTCTGTAGCGGTAAAGTGATACTTAAGAAACGGTCGCTGTCACCTATAGTGTATTCTTATCTGGTTATCAATTGTTTTTTGTTATAATATCTTGTAGAATTTTCTGATACTATTACACTAGGTGGTAGAGTGGAATTAGTAATAAATAAACACGGTGTGTAACTTTAGCTGAGTCATTAATAGTATCTCTACGAGATTGAAGGGATATTTTTGATATTGAAGGAGTTGATTATGCAGGCCTAGGCAAGTTTTTTTAAATTTATTTTTGAAGCTTGTGCATTGCCGTCAAAAGAAAGATTAATCACGAAACATGCAGCGTAGAGACTCGCTAGGAGAGTTAACTAAGATTCTTAGGCTGAGCACGGGAAGCACGCGGAGATTTAGATCACGGCGTAGCCAATCGTCGGTTAGTAGCATCACGGACGTTTTTGCTGAACCACTTCGGCTCGGGTGTACAGGGGCATCAAGCTATGTTGAAGTTTGAAAAGAGACGTCAGAGAGATGACGAAGTCAAAAACAAGTTTTTGGATGACCTCGAGTTACTCAGAAGGAGAAGCAACCCTGACGAGAGGATATTCGAGCTAAACTTGACTATTGCCTCAAAATTCATGGATGGAGTAAAAAATGATGAGCTAAAAACCATGTGAGCCAAAGAATTCACCCTATCGCTGGATCAAACGCCCAGGCCCGATGATTTGCTCATGAAATCGCGTGAATACTTGCTCGTAAAAGCAAGAGCGCAAACCGATACAGCAATTACGGCAATTTCAGTGGAACCAATACTGGCGCGAATCCCAGTTGGTATAGACCTCGTGATGACATGGACAAGAGGAGGTCAAGTGCAATTAAAGACTGCTAATAGCTTTTTGTCCTTATTATATATTACTTATATCCCATTTAGACCCGAGAAACACCCCAATTTTGTCGAAAATCAATGGTTTTTGGCCAAACTGTTAACCCCAGAAATTTTGGATATCCGAGCTTGTCCGAACAGCAAAAAGCTTCTGCGCAGTGAGCTACTAGGTAGTTCGACCCCTAACCAAAAAAAAAACGCGCGGAAAAAGACTTAGTAGAATTTGGCGAAAATAAATTTTTTTCGCTCAAATTTTTTTTGTATTTTTCCGAATTTCGTCAATATATTATTGAGAGTCGAGTTTTTGAGTAGTTGGATGAACAATTTTTTGTTAGGAGCGTGCTAGCACAACGTGCTAGGCTGCAAGGGCAATTTTTGAGTATGCCTCCGAATATTTCCGTGGATAGAGCTAGAGACTTAAATATTGGAAAAGGAAGGAATCAGGAGGTCCAAATTTGATAGTTTTTGACCAAATTTTTGTTTCCTAGCCAATTTTGGTCCGGTTTTTTGCAGTTTTTCAGTGCCGTACAGGGTTTTTGCGCTCATTTCAAACTTTTTTAAGCACGTTAAGTATGGATTGCGGAAAACGTATCTGATAACCTATATAGGATGTGAAAAAAGGCCAACTTAACGAACGCGTTTTTGGTGATTTCTCAATGACTAGCCAACTGATCGGAAAAATTTTGGTACCATAAGCCGATGTTTTGATCACTTTCCCGAACCGCACTTGTGTTTGGGTAGATAACTTCAGACTCAAGTTATCTACCCAAGTTATTTTTCAAGAAAAATTTTTTTTAATTTGTTAGTTCGCAGAGTCCAAATTTTAGGGAACTTCCGAGCGGCAGAAATTTTTATAAAATCACCTTTTCATCCTACTGGGAACGTTGACCGAGTCGGGCAACCCAATCCTAAGTAAATTAGACTGCAATCGGAAGCTTTACAGCGGTGAAAGTATCTGTTATTGTGATTTTTGGTGAACCCTCCGAAGCAACCATCCGGAGTCAGCTAAGCCCCTAGCAAACCTCGGTAGCAGAAACTTTTCACGCAACACTCCGAGACAATATAAAAAAACCAGAATGAATTTAGCTTGTTTTGGCTCTTTTTGGAAGTAGCAGGAGACCACATTAGGCAAAATTTGAAAAACTTTGCGGGATTTTGAGGGAACCCTCCGAAGTAACCCTCCGGAGTGACTTAAGCCTCTTATTGACCCTCCTAGTTAATTAAGGGGGACCCTCCGAAGCAATTTAGGTGTTTAAGGTACCCTCCGAGGTAAATCTCCGAGGTAACCCTCCAGAGTAAGCTAAGCGTCCTAAAAACCCTCCGAAGTAACCTTCCAGGGTGACTTAAGCCCTTTAACAACCCTCCTTAGTGAAAATTTGGAAGTACCCTCCGCGACAATTAAAACATCCTTAGATTCCTTTTGAGGTCTAACGAGAAGGTCGACTACTCACAATTTTGGAGAATAGTGGCCCAGTTGACCCGGAGAACTGCGATTAACTTTAGACTCTAAATCGGGTTCATCAAAAGTATCCGAACAAATTTTTTTTTGGTTGTGATTTTGGTTGTGTGGTGGCCTTGAGCTACTTGAAAGGAAGGCTCGGGCGATCCGGGAACACTTAAAAGAAGACCTCGGTGAGTCTATTAAACGAGAAACATTCACTTGAGAAGACTAAGTAGTTCCCTACTCTCGTACACTTGGAGCTGTCCGGGTGTGGGAGAGCTTTTGCTTAGACTCTAGAGATTTTTGATCGAGAGGTTGCTTTGAGCTACGTAGTAGGACAGCTCGAGCAATCGCAGGACATACAAAAGAATACCTCGGTGAGTGTATTAGACAAGACAAACTCACTTGAGTAGACAGTGTCCTGGGCTTCGTTCTTTTGGAGTTTTCCAATCTAGGGAAGTCTTTTTCTTTAAGACTACGTTTTAGTTTTCTCTTACTGAAGCCATCACTGCTTTTTTATGAAAATTTTTTTGATTTTGTACAAAGCAGTGATTTGACACGTCTGTAGCGGTAAAGTGATACTGACGAAAAAATCGCTTTCACCCATAGGGTATTCTTATCTGGTTATCAATTGTTTTTTGTGTGTTAGTTATAATATTAGTTATAATACTAATAGAAATTTTGTGATAGTGTTATACTAGGTGATAGAGTAGAATTAGTAATGATTGAACACGGTGTGTAACTTTAGCTGAGTCACTAAAAGCATCTCTAAAAGATTGAAGGGATAATTTTGATATTGAAGGAGTTGAGTATGCAGGCTTAGGCAAGTTTTTCTCAAGTTTATTTTTGGAGCTTGTGCATTGCCGTCAAAAGAAATTTTTTATCATGAAACATGCAGCGTAGAGACTCGCCAGGAGAATTAACTAAAATCCCCAAGCTGAGCACGGGAAGTACGCGGAGGTTTAGATCACGGCGTAGCCAACCCTCGATTAGTAGCATCACGGACGTTTTTGCTGGTGAAGCAGCAAGTGAAGGTAGTAGTGATTTTTCAGTGAGCGGAATGAAACTAAGAAGTGAGAAGAATCGAGATGGTGATGATGAAGAGGACGCCAAGGCCGGAGCGGCTAACGTGAAGACAACTGATCCATTCGAGGAAGGGGAGCAGACACTAATCCGACTTGACCACCACTATCGCGAGGACCCCGAAGAGCCTGGCGAGGAACCTGAGTGGGAAGAAACCGGGGAAACTCAAGAGCCCTCGGAGCGTTCCGAGGTAGGAATACGAGAGGAACTGTTGTTTAAGGGGACGTCTAAATCAGAGACCAAAGGCAATAGTCGGAGAAAGGAACAATCCTCTCTAGTCAAGCAGGGCAAGAATGCGATGATGTCGAGCATAAGTCTAAGAGAAGAGCTACCAAGTTCAAAAGCGAAAAGAAGCTTCAAGACGATGTGCGGTTTTTTTTTAATTTTCCGAATTTCGTCAATATGATTTGAGAATCAAGTTTTTGAGTTTTTAGAGTTAGAGCGATAAACTTTTTTGAGCGGCCATTTTTGAGTAACCCTCCGAATAACTCCGTGGATAGACTTAGAGACTTGAAGATTTGAAAAGGAAGGAATCAGGGGGTCCAAACTTGATAGTTTATTGGCCAAATTTTTTGTTTCCTAGCCTGTTTTGGTCCGGTTTTTTCCAGTGCCGTACAGGGATTCTACGCTCATTTCAAACTTTTTAAGCACTTTAAGTAAGAATTGCGGAAAAAGTCCCTGAGAACCTATATAGATGGTGAAAAAAGGTCAACTTGACGAACGCGTTTTTGGTGATTTCTCAAAGACTAGCTAACTGATCGGAAAAATTTTAGTACCATAAGTCGATGTTTTTAACAATATTCCTGGACCGCAATCGTTTTAAGGTTGATAATTCAGGAAATAAAATTTTTAAGTCCGGAGGGTCCCAGTTTTAGGGAACCCTCCGAGCAGCAGAAATTTTTACAAAATCACCTTTTTATCCTACTGGGAAGGTTGACCGAGTCGGCCAGCCCAGTCTTAAGTAAGTTAGATTGCAAGCGGAGGTTTTACAGCGGTGAAAATATCTGCTTTTGTGATTTTTGGGGAACCCTCCGAAGCAACCCTCCAGGGTCAGCTAAGCCTCTTAGCAACCCTCATTAGCAGAAAATTTTCACGCAACCCTCCGAGACATTAAAAAACCCCAGAGTGAATTTAGCTTGTTTTGACTCTTTTTGGAAGTAGCTTGAGACCACTTTAAGCGAAACTTGAAAAACTTGGAAATTTGAGGGAACCCTCTTAAGTAACCCTCCGGAGTGACTTAAGCCTCTTATTGACCCTCTTAGTGATTTGGACTCTCCAAAGCAACTTAGGTGTTTAAGGTACCCTCCGAGGTAAACCTCCGAGATAACCCTCCAGAGTGACCTAAGCCCTTTAACAACCCTCCTTAGTGAAAATTTGGAAGTACCCTCCGGGACAACTGAAACATCCTTAGATATGCTTTCGAGGTCTAAATAGAAGATCGACTACTCACGAGACATGTATTTTGGAGAATAGTGGCCCAGTTGACCCGGAGAATTGAGATTAACTTTAGATTCTAAATCGGGTTCATCAAAAAAACCCAAACAACATTTTTTTGATTGTTATTTTGGTTGTGTGGTTGCCTTGAGCTACTTGAAAGGAAGGCCCGGGCAATCCGCGAACACATAAAAGAAGACCTCGGTGAGTCTATTAGACAAGACTCACTCACTTGTGAAGACAAAGTAGTTCCCTACTCTCGTACACTTGGAGCTGTCCGGGTGTGGGAGAGGTTTCCTTGAGCTACGTAGTAGGACAGCTCGGGCAATCAGAGGACATACAAAAGAAGACATCGGTGAGTGTATTAGACAAGACACACTTACTTGAGAAGACAGTGTCCTGGGCTTCGTTTTTTTGGAGTGTTTCAATCTAGGAAAGTCTTTTTCTTTAAGACTACGTTTTACTTTTCTCTTACTGAAGCCATCACTAATTTTTTAAGAAAACTTTTTGATTTTACACGAAGCAGTGATTTGATACGTCTGTAGCGGTAAAGTGATACTTAAGAAAAGATCGCTGTTACCTATAGTGTATTCTTATCTGGTTATCAATTGTTTTTTGTGTGTTAGTTATAATACCTTGTAAATTTTTGTGATACTGTTATACTAGGTGATAGAGTGGAATTAGTAAAAAATAAACACGGTGTGTACCTTTAGCTGAATCATCAATAGTATCTCTAAGAGATTGAAGGGATATTTCGATATTGAAGGAGTTGATTATGCAGGCCTAGGCAAGTTTTTTTAATTTTTTTTTTGGAGCTTGTGCATTGCCGTCAAAAGAAAGTTTTTAATCACAAAACATGCAGCGTAGAGACTCGCTAGGAGAGTTAACTAAGCTTCCCAGGCTGAGCACGGGAACCACTCGGAGATTTAGATCACAGCGTAGCCAATCCTCGGTTAGTAGCATCACGGACGTTTTTGCTGAACCACTTCGGCTCGGGTGAACAGGGGCATCAAGCTATGTTGAAGTTTGAACAGAGGCGTCAAAGAGATGACGAAGTCAAATACAAGTTTTTGGATGACCTCGAGTTACTCGAGAAGGAGAAGCAACCCTAACGAGAGGATATTTGAGCGAAACTTGACTTTTGCCTCAAAATTCATGAATGGAGTAAAAAGTGATGAGCTTAAAACCATGTGAGCCAAACAATTCACCCTATCGCTGGATCAAATGTCCACGCCCGATGATTTGCTCATGAAGTCGCGTGAATACTCGCTCATAAAAGCAAGAGCGCAAATCGATACAGCAATTACGTCAACTTCAGTGGAACAAATACTGGTGCGAATCCCAGTTGGTATAGACCTCGTGATGACATGGACAAGAGGAGGTCAAGTGCAATTAAAGACTGCTAATAGTTTATTGTCCTTATTATAGATTACTTATATCCCATTTAGACCCGAGAAACACCCCAATTTTGTCGAAAATTAATGGTTTTCGACCAAACTGTTAACCTCAGAAATTTGGGAAAAAGCTTCTGCGCAGTGAGCTACTAGGTTTTTTGACCCCCTAACTAAAGAAAACACGCGGAAAAAGACTTAGTATAATTTGGCGAAAATTAAAATTTTTCGCTCAAATTTTTTTGTAATTTTCGATTTTCGTCAATATATTATTGAGAATCGAGTTTTTGAGAGTTTGGATAAATATTATTTCATTAGGAGCGTGCTAGTACAACGTGCAAGGCTGCAAGGGCAATTTTTGTGTAAACATCCGAATAAATCCGTCGATAGAGTTAGAGACTTAAATATTGGAAAAGGAAGGAATCAGGAGGTCCAAATTTGATAGTTTTTGGCTAATTTTTTTTGTTTCCTAGCCAATTTTGGGCCAGTTTTTTGCAATATTCCAGTGCCGTACAGGGTTTCTACGCTACTTCAAATTTTCTTAGGCACTTTAGGTAAGGATTGCGGAAAAAGTATCTGAGAACCTATATAGGATGTGAAAAAAGGGCAACTTAACAAACGCGTTTTTGCTGATTTCTCAATGACTAGCCAACTGATAAGTCGATGTTTTGATCACTTTCCTGGACCGCACTTGTATTTGGGTAGATAACTTCAGAAAAGAAAACTTTTTTGAAAATTGTTAGTTCAGAGAACTCAAATTTTAGGGAACCCTCCGAGCCTCAGAAATTTTTATAAAATCACCTTTGATCCTACTGGGAAGGTTGACCGAGTCGGCCAACCCAGTCTCAAGTAAATAAGACTGCAATCGGAAGCTTTACAGCAGTGAAAGTATCTGTTTTCGTGATTTTTGGTGAACGCTCCGAAGCAACCATCCGGAGTCAGCTAAGCCCCTAGCAACCCTCGGTAGCAGAAGTTTTTCACGCAACACTCCGAGACAATTAAAAAAAAACCCAGAGTGAATTCAGTTTGTTTTGACTCTTTTTGGAAGTAGCTGGAGACCCCATTAGGCAAAATTTGAAAAACTTTGAGGGATTTTGAGGGAACCCTCCGAAGTAACCCTCCGGAGTGATCTAAGCCTCTTATTGACCCTCTTAGTGAATTAAGGGGGACCCTCCGAAGCAATTTAGGTGTTTAAGGTACCCTCCGAGGTAACCCTCCAGAGTAAGCTAAGCGTCTTAAAAACCCTCCGAAATAACCTTCCAGAGTGACTTAAGCCCTTTAACAACCCTCCTTATTGAAAATTTGGAAGTACCCTCCGGGACAATTAAAACATCCTTAGATATCCTTTTGAGCTCTAACGAGAAGGTCGACTACTCACCATTTTGGAGAATATTGGCTCAGGTGACCCGGAGAATTGGGATTAACTTTAGATTCTAAATCGCGTTCATCAAAAGTATCCGAACAAAATTTTTTTTGATTGTGCCTTTGGTTGTGTGGTGGCCTTGAGCTACTTGAGCCTTGGCCTTGAGCTACTTGAGCTAACGCGTTTTTGCTGATTTCTCAATGACTAGCCAACTGATAAGTCGATGTTTTGATCACTTTCCTGGACCGCACTTGTATTTGGGTAGATAACTTCAGAAAAGAAAACTTTTTTGAAAATTGTTAGTTCGGAGAACTCAAATTTTAGGGAACCCTCCGAGCCTCAGAAATTTTTATAAAATCACCTTTGATCCTACTGGGAAGGTTGACCGAGTCGGCCAACCCAGTCTCAAGTAAATAAGACTGCAATCGGAAGCTTTACAGCAGTGAAAGTATCTGTTTTCGTGATTTTCGGTGAACGCTCCGAAGCAACCATCCGGAGTCAGCTAAGCCCCTAGCAACCCTCGGTAGCAGAAATTTTTCACGCAACACTCCGAGACAATTAAAAAAAACCCAGAGTGAATTCAGTTTGTTTTGACTCTTTTTGGAAGTAGCTGGAGACCCCATTAGGCAAAATTTGAAAAACTTTGAGGGATTTTGAGGGAACCCTCCGAAGTAACCCTCCGGAGTGATCTAAGCCTCTTGTTGACCCTCTTAGTGAATTAAGGGGGACCCTCCGAAGCAATTTAGGTGTTTAAGGTACCCTCCGAGGTAACCCTCCAGAGTAAGCTAAGCGTCTTAAAAACCCTCCGAAATAACCTTCCAGAGTGACTTAAGCCCTTTAACAACCCTCCTTATTGAAAATTTGGAAGTACCCTCCGGGACAATTAAAACATCCTTAGATATCCTTTTGAGCTCTAACGAGAAGGTCGACTACTCACCATTTTGGAGAATATTGGCCCAGGTGACCCGGAGAATTGGGATTAACTTTAGATTCTAAATCGCGTTCATCAAAAGTATCCGAACAAAATTTTTTTTGATTGTGCCTTTGGTTGTGTGGTGGCCTTGAGCTACTTGAAAAGAAGGCTCGGGCAATCCAGGAACAAATAAAAGAAGACCTCGGTGAGTCTATTAGACAAGACACGCTCACTTGAGAAGACAAAGTAATTCCCTACTCTCGTACACTTGGAGCTGTCCGGATGTGGGAGAGCTTTTGCTTAGACTCTAGAGATTTTTGATCAGAGGTTGCCTTGAGCTTTGTAGTAGGACAGATCGAGCAATCGCAGGACATACAAAAGAATATCTCGGTGAGTGTATTAGACAAGACAAACTCACTTGACAATACAGTGTCCTGGTCTTCGTTCTTTAGGAGTGTTCCAATCTAGGGATGTCTTTTTCTTTAAGACTAAGTTTTTTCTAATCTGTTACTGAAGCCATCACTGCTCTTTTATGAAAAATTGTTTGATTTTAAACGAAGCAGTGACTTAATACGTCTGTAGCGGTAAAGTGATACTGAAGAAAAAATCGCTGTCACCTATAGGGTATTCTTTTTATCTGTTTATCAATTGTTTTTTTGTGTGTTAGTTATAATATCTTGTGAAATTTTGAGATAGTGCTACACTAGGTGATAGAGTGGAATTAGTAATGATTAAACACGGAGTGTAACTTTAGCTGAGTCACTAATAGCATCTCTAAGAGATTGAAGGGATATTTTTGATATTGAAGGAGTTGAGTATGCAGGCTTAGGCAAGTTTTTTTTTAAGTTTATTTTTGGAGCTTGTGCATTGCCGTCAAAAGAAAGTTTTTACTCACGAAACATGCAGCGTAGAGACTCGCCAGGAGAATTAACTAAAATCCCCAGGCTGAGCACGGGAAGCACGCGGAGGTTTAGATCACGGCGTAGCCAACCCTCGATTAGTAGAATCACGGACGTTTTTGCTGGTGAAGCAGCAAGTGAAGGTCATAGTGATCTTTCAGTGAGCGGAATGAAACTAAGAAGTGAGAAGAATCGAGATGGTGATGATGAACGGGACGCCGAGGCCGGAGCGGCTAACGTGAAGACAACTGATCCCTTCAAGGAAAGGGAGCAGACACTAATCCGACCCGACCACCACCATCGCGAGGACCCCGAAGAGCCTGGCGAGGAACCTGAGCGGGAAGAAACCGGAAAAACTCAAGAGCCCTCGGAGCGTTCCGAGGTAGGAATTCGAGAGGAACTGTTGTTTAAGGGGACGTCTAAATCAGATACCAAAGGCAATAGTCGGAGAAAGGAACAATCCTCTCTAGTCAAGCATGGCAAGAATGCGATGATGTCGAGCATAAGTCTAAGAGAAGAGCTACCAAGTTCAAAAGCGAAAAAAAAAGCTTCAAGACGATGTGCGATGAGCGCATGACGTGGCTCCGAACTGTTGGATTGTCCTCTGGATATGACGGTACGGGGCTGATGCACTCGGTCTTGGACTTCACACCTAGCCCGAGACTGGAGAGGAGCAAGAAAGCGTTGTCTGACTCGCCAACTAGACCAATGTCAGATTGGATAACAGTGGGAGCATCGTCGTCATACGACAGGCTGATGATGTCGATGGGCACACAGAAGGGTGCTGCATCGTCAAGTTTCCAGCTGCAACCTCAATTGACGTCATCGTCCCTGGGTCTTACTCCAGTGCTGGGAATGGCTAGCGACTTGATGTCATGTTTGCCGGTGTAATGACAGGCCTTCAAGAACTACGACACGATTTGACCAAGAGGTTGGATCGAGTCGAAGGAAGGGCTCAAAAGGCCATGAAAGATTGAGAGACGAGCTGACAGATGTGAAGTCACAAGCCAGAAGTGATCATGCCCAGCTGATTCGGGACACCGATCAGTGCCTGGCAGAAAGCTTGGCGCTGGCAAACAAGGAGTCACAAGAAAGAGACATTAAGATGACAAGAGAGATTGTGCGGTACCTACGCTCATACTATGACTAGTCCGGAGAAAAGGTTAGATGCCAAGACTGACCTTAGGATGCGGAAGCTTGATGAGATCTTGAGCAATGGCTCCATGATACATAACATGTTATCTAACCCTTTTTCTCCCTCTCAAGAAGTCCAACAAGGATTGAAAATTAAATACTGCACGATATAACAAATGAAGTTTTAGTGCTCCGAAGGATTGACTGAATTAGAAAGAATGATATAATTCCTAACTCCGGCGGATTATAATCCCTAGTTATAAATAGGTAAACTCTAACTGCGCTGAAACGAAATACTAGTACGAATATAAATGACTAAATGCGAGTTTTCAAGTTTTTGATTGAGTTTAGCTGTCCCCTTCCATGAATTTTTCTAGCTCGTCGTTAAAAATTTCACTGTCTAAATCGATGTAGTTGTCGAAACTATTCACCGCATCTCTCAAGGATTCGTCAGTAGAGGCGATGGAGAATTGATCAGGAGATGGAGGGTACGCTGGGCCCGGTGCACAGTCCTCCGGTAGAGTGTCGCAAATGTGGGTCTGGTTATCCGCGGGATTCTCTCTGAAGGTTTGTGTGGGGGAGCCCGAGCTGTCACCCTCGTCCAGAGATATAGGGTTATTAGCGGAGCCTGGTTGGTTTTCGAACTCGTCTATAATATCTATGTAATATCGCTTGCCATAGAATTGTGGGGGACCAACATTTCGACTTGAACGTCTGAATTTAAATTCATTACCGGTGATAATGATTTCCTTAGGATGTCTTTCCTCACTAGTTGCAATTTCGTCAGAGGAGTCCTCTATCTCATAGACTGGAAATTTGACCGGATTCTCTCCTTCCAATGCTTTTGTTGAATCCGATGGAGTGTTTGGGCCCTCTGTTGTCGTAGCGGTAGAAGATTCGCCAGGTGGGTGTGAGGTAGTTTGAGGTGCTGGCTTTATACTAAATGGGCATTCCGCTGTAACTGTAGATTGAAGTCGTTCGTCTAAAATCTCAGATTTCATAATAGTTTGATATGTTTGAGGATCTAATGATGGGGTAGGTTCTTCGTTAAAAATGAGATTATCTGAAATGAAGCGTTTTCTTATCATTTCTCTGCATAGAAAACCTCCCGCAATCCATTCCCAATCACTAATGTCCGACGTATCCGACGGAATGAAGATGAATTCACCATCTGCTAAGTATCCTGTGTTCGAAGTTGAAGCTTTATTTCGGTTTCGCTTCGATTTGTTGAATTTAGTAGGCTGTTTTGTTCCTCTAGATCTGGTGGTGACCGGGGTGAAAGACTCTGTGTGTCGTCCTGTCTTAGTGTCTGGTTTCCGCGTCTGATGTGTCTTCGATTCGTTTGTCTTTCTTGTACCTACTTGTAAATCACTGTTAGAAAAAGAGGGAAAAGAGATATTCCCTTTGGATGAACGGATTGTAGAGGAATTAGACTTTGGGATGAGGATGTCCGATTTGCTAATGATTTTTCCGTCGGATAGTTCAACCGTGGATTTTGTTGAGTTTATTATTTTTTGACCTAGTTGTTTATAGAAGGGATTTCCGTTTATACTTCCGTTGATTTTTCGTAGTAAATTACCTTTAAACGGGCTGTTTAAGGACACTCGGGAAGATGAAGGTTTTGAGGTTGTAGGAAGGTCTGAGTCGTAGTCTTTTTCCAATGGTGACTGGTTCTTTTTCGGTACAAGAAAGTATTTGTATCCGTCCTCTATCCGATCGTCAGCGTTCCAGTCAAGGGCCCTTTCTCTGCTTAAGATCGACTTCCCTTTGTCTAAAAAACCACCGGATAATTTAGTAGATGCCAATTGCTTCCAGATCGTGTTCGGTTTTCTAGTAAAGTGTATTTCGAACGGTGAGCTTTTTATTTTTGATTGAAAGGAAGATCGTAAACACCAAATGATTTTCGAAATGGCAGTTTGTAATGTAGGTTTTACAGTAATGTTGTTCTAAAGACATTGCTAATAATTTGATTTTTACAGTATGAACAAGATTTTCTACAGGACCGTTAAAACGATGGTCCCCAACTGTACAAAATATTAATTTGATATTAAGAGAATTACAAAATAATTTAAAATCCTGACTAGTAAAACAGGACGCGTGGTCAACACGAATAGAGTTAGGAATCCCATGGAGGTAAAAATAATCTTGAAGGAATCCGATTACCGTATTTGATGACGTTGAAGATGTAATTTTTGCTGATGGGAATTTTGAAAAACGATCTATACATAATATGATGTACTTACTGTTTCCCCAGTTGTTGTCTAATGGGCCGGCAAAATCAAGGTTTAATTCCTCATTAGGTTCAAATAAAGCAGGAAGTTCGCTATTTTGTGTAGTTGGTATGATGCTTTTTTTATTCTTGCCGGTTTGGGTGCATTGTGCAATTAATCCCGTGGAAGTAAATTTGCCGGTTTATATGTGGCCACCAAATATATTGTGCCAGGTATTTCATACCGAATTGGCCAGGGTGAGATTCATGTAAAGTTTTTAAAACGGCGTTTCTAAGTGTAAACGGAATAACCAATTTTCCATCCATATATAATAGTCCGTCGGATTCATGAAGGTCTTTCGAAAATTGGTGTAAGTAACGGGAATTTGCGTTGATGTTTTCTACTTTTTTCTGTAAAGCCTTCACAATTGGATTTGACATCTCATCATCTTCCCTTTAAAAAGCAACCAACTTTGCATTGAATAATGTATTTAAATCCAAAGGTATTTCAGGTAACTTGAGGTTTTCTCGAAACTTAGTTACTAACTTTTTGTGCTCTGAGGAAATTTGGAAATCAATAGAGAGCTGTATCCCGGAAGTGGAAGGATTTAATACAATTCGATTATTTGACATATTTACACTTTTTATAAGTTTGAGATCCGAAGGATTACTAATTAAGCTACTGTTAAGAATTACAAAATAAATAAAGGCTGAATTTGATAGAAAGATTTTAGTAGAATCGGTGCTTGAGAAATCCGAGGGAATACATTTAGAGTTACAAAATTCTGTTCTATAGTGTTTTTGATTGCAGTTTGAGATGGAAGAATTGACGAAATTCACTGCTGTAATTATTACGTGATTTCGTAATTTCATGTACTGGGAACTTTCCGAAATTGAATTAATTGAATTACGTAATGAATTTTCATTATCCATTTGAGTGCATTATATATTTTTTGGTAGTTGCAACTACGAATTCGTCGTCGTAATGTGATGGGGGAATGGCTTTACCCGAAGGAGTTCTTGAAATTAGGTCGGTAAAACCCATATCTTTTCCCGCTAAATGCTTGATAGTAAAATTGAATGGTAGAAAACGATCTACCCATCTTGTCAATCGGCTTTGGTACGTTTTGTTTCCGTGATTAGGTGACAAAGCGGAAAGGAGAGCTTTGTGGTCGGTAATAAATTCAAATTCGGAGCCGTAGAGATAATTTTTGTAATGTTCCACCGCCGATACAACTCCTAATAACTCTAATTCGTTTGATGAATATTTGGATTCATGAGGATTTAAAAATCTTGAAGCAAATGACACTGTTTTCCAAACGTTTTCATGGAGTTGTTCAAGGCATGCACCTAACCCATTATGTGAAGCATCGGTTTTTACTCTCGTGGGCTTTCTTACGTCGAAGTGGGTGTTTTCAGTAAGGTTTACTATTTCTGATTTAATCTTATCGAATGCTTTTGAGTGATCTTCGTTCCAAAGGAAAATTGACTTCTTGTTTAAAAGAGGTCTAAGCAGGCTTCCGAGGGATTAGTTGACCCGAAGAATGATCTTAATTCTTTTAGATTCTTTGGAATTGGAATCTCTTTGATTGCCTTGGTTTTATCGAATAGTGGGGCGATTCCGGATTTCGATATTTTAAAGCCGAGCCATTCGATTTCTTTTGGAAGAATTTGCATTTTGACCATTTAACTGCGAAATTGTAACTATCTAGCGTCGATAAAATTTTATAAACAACTTTCTTGTGATCGTTAAAACTTTCTTTGGAAGCAACTAATATGTCGCCAAGGTAACAATTTGTAAAATAAATATTTCCCAGAGTTGAGTCCATGACTCTTTGAGACTCGTTTGGCATATCGTCGAGTCCGTAAATACCGGTTAAAAATTGATAAGTGCCTGTTATATCTCCGCCAACTAGGCTAAAATTGCCTTGGCCGCTAGTAACAATGTCTAGCGAGAGTTGACTATATGCATTCTTTAGGTCTAGATTTGTAAACCATACTTCTCCGGCAGAATTGTTTGAAATTTGAGCCGCTACGTTATCCACTAATTCGTGTATATTGGGAATCTGATATTTGTTCTTAAAAATTTGTTTGTTGATAAATTTTGAATCTAGAGCAGCTTTATCGATTTGTCTTTTTTACAAGTGATAACTATCGGACTAATAAATCTGTCCTCGTCGCAGTTTTCTAATTTTTTGATGTGTCTATCGGATTTAAGTCTGTATAGTTCTGAT